TCAAATAAATAAATAAAATCTTTAAAAAAAAAAAAAAAGCCAACCAGTAACTATTGCATGGTATTCTGCAGTGACTCAGTGGCAACTCATGCTGCGCACAAAGATGTACGGAGCCCCCAGCAGTGCTCGGTGCTGGAGTAAGGACACGGGGACCAACCAGCTAGCCTCAATCACTAGCTTAGGCAGAGAAGTAAACTGACCACAAGCAATCTGCCGGAGACTGACTGCTAGGGAAGTGGGGGCACCTAACCCAGGCTGAGGGGGGTCCAGTGAGGCCTCCTGGAGGGAGTGCTGAACTAACAGAGCTGAAGGGTGCAGGGGACTCAGCCACAGAATATTACTATAAATGGTAGGAATATGCTTTCATGTTTATCTCCTCATTTTCTTCTAATAATAATACTCCTGAGAGGTAGGCATTGATCTCACTTAAGAAAACAAAACAAAACCCAGGCTAAACAGAGGAATGGGCTTAATGCTGGCCAGTCGTAGAGCTGGGTGGAAAGCGGGATGCCTGATGAGCTCGCAGGAGAGTGTTCTTTCTACAAGTCAACATTCTCTTAAAGCACTTGGAGAGCTGGAGCCACTTCTCACTCAAAACAACAGGATGGGGCACCTGGGTGGCTCGGTCGGATGAGCGTCCAACTCTTGGTTTCGGTTCAGGTCATGATCTCGCAGTCATGGGATGGAGCCTCATGTCGGGCTCTGCGCTCGGTATGGAGTCTGCTTGAGGTTCTCTCTCTCCCTCTCCCTCTGCTCCTCCCTCCACTCACGCATGTGCATGCTCTCTTAAATAAAAATAAATAAATAAATAAATAAATAAATTCTTAAAAAAAAAAAAAACCCATGGACGAGGGTCCACCTCTGCATGCTGGAGCCCACTTTCCTGTCATCTTAGTCTACTTGGGTCGATGGCATCCTAGTTGGCACAAAGGAGCTAATTTGCAGCCAAATAGTCCTGCCAGGCCACAGAGAAGGTGACCCTGTACCTGAAGAACCCCAGGCCAGATCTAGGATCTCAGCGCCTGCAAGACCGCCCCCCCCAGAGGGCAGCCTGCAAACCAGAGCCTCCCACCAGCTCAGACCCCTGCATGGAGCCCCTTCTGGAGGCTCTGCCTGCCTGCTCACCCCTTCCCTTTTTCCCCTGGGCCTTCCCCACCCTGAATGCTTGTGCAAGCAAACCCACTTTGCTTCCCCATTCCCTCCGTAGACACGCACACACACACTCCCAACCTTCACCCAGCTTCCCATCTCTTATGGTGCTTCTGAGCCACTCCACGGTCATCCTCCAGGTCAGGAGTTACCCCAGCATTTCCAGAAACGAGAAGACACTGCCAATGCTGAGAGGCTACGAATGTTGTTCATTTCGGGCTTAGGGGAATACTTTTGTATTTTTTTTTTAACTTTTGTATTTTTTTATTTGGGGTTTTTCAACCAATAAGCCTGATGCTTTTGATTTCCATGTGTGTCATAGTAAAATACTCATTATCCACAAGTCTTTCTACATTATGGGATGTTTATCCCTCTGCTTTGTTTACAGTTTTCTGCATGTCCCAAAATTTCTATGATGAGATGTTGCTTTCAAAATCACGGGGAAAAAATGCCCAAGTGTTCCCACATAGGAATATAGACTTATTAAGACTTTTCTCTGAGTGGTGGAACTATGGGTGACTGGTTTTCCTTTATTCCATTAGAGGTCACATGTATTGCTTTTGGACTTGTACACTGAGGTCAGTCCTAGACAATTTTTGAGTGTTGAGGAGCAGCTCCAAAATAGTAAGCAGAATGAATGCTTATTGGGTGAAAGCATTTTTGGAAAGCCCATTAAAAAGCCAAGATAGGAAAAAAAAAAACAAAAAAACAGATGGAAATGGTGCCTACATTTCCTGCCAGTCTCCACCTTTATCTGAGGTTGGGGACCCATGGACTCCAGCCATCATGGACCGTGTCTTTCAAGTCCCACACTATTGTCTGCATTATTTATACAGATGCAAAACTTACTATTCCTGAAATGGTAGAAGAAATATGGAAAACAAACACTGTGTTATGTCAAAATGTATCTGTCTATACTCCCACTGGTTTATATCATGGTGTGTAGACCACTAAGCATTTTCCATAGTTGAGACAGCCAGAAACAGAGAGAGAGAAATTATGGTCGAATTACGGCATCACACCATTAACGTGCAAAGATAGTTGCTGCTAGTGTACGATTACCACTTTTCATATGATTTTCACTTTTCATTTTCTTGTAGAATGCTGTGAATTTACTGCTGAGCCTGTGTACTGCTACTCTCCTAAAGAGAAAATTACTTCTTTTAGAGGATCTGCTTGCACAAGCGTAAAATCTTTGCAGCTCTCGGAGCAGCAAGAGAACCACATCAGACTTTGATATGCTGAGCTGGCTGTTTTGAGTTACCTGTTCCAGAGAATTTTGGGCAGGGGTTATTCCAGCATGTCGCTTTCTTCATATTTTTGTCCACTCACATCCTCAAATGTCTTATGGGGTACCTCCTTGAGGCAGTTGACCTTATTAGA